TTATTCTTCTTCAATTTCTTGCATTTACTATGTTCTTATTATTTGTTATTATTGTGTTCTTGTTGAGAGGTCATGAAAAAAATTAATCAATCTACTTTAAGCATATTAATTTCATTCATTTAGTTACAGAAACAAAATTATACCCTTTATATCGATTTTTTAATGTGTTGACCTATGTTTGTCAAGGAAAAGTCATAAAAGTCGTTTTAATGCATGATGACAAAGCTAGTGGCACGGACCAAAAGCAGGATAAAGAAGTTTTTTATTGTTACACTTCAACTTGAATGAACAAAGAAGTATCTGTTGTTCCAAGGATTTCAATAAATCTTTTATACATATTATTATAATCTTCGATAAAAAATTTCTAATTTTATATTATTGAATTTGTTTATATCAATGGTTTTAGTTTCAAAATCACAATTATAGTACAAGACTTTACCGGCGTGGTGTCACTTACGTTATTTGATCGTGACGCAAAGAAACTTCTGGAAAAAAACACACAAGAGTTGCTTCAAAAGTTTAATGAGGTTATCGATATTAACTTCATTTACAAAAAACTAATTTTTACTTTTTGTTTGTCTATTTTTATAACCGTTAATTTTTTCATTTTTAGGAGGGTAATATGGAGATTTATCTGTCTGCTTTGAAATTACTTTTGGATAAAAAGTTGGCGTTGAAAATTCAAATTTCTCATTATAATTTGAAGAACAATGTTTGACGGATATGAATCTCAAACTTCAATGTTGATAATAAAATCACTGTTGAAATGGAAAAAAAAATTAACATCGAACATGTAACATTCTTTTACGAAACATACTACAAATACTACACTTATTAGATTCGTTTTTTATATCTTAGTTGATCAACTAACATATTTTTATGTACTACAAATATAGGTACCGTAATCTGATTCATTTAACATTTTATCGACAAAATTCGGATGTCAAGACATATTAAATTTAAAGGTTTTAAATACAATATAACTAAATCTAATATTTTAAATACTTTAAAATATTATTAACTTTTAGATTGACATATGAATTTATTTTTTATATTTAGGATGCAGTTTCGTTTACTGGTGAAAACGTCACATCCGCTTCGAATCTTGATAAAAGTATTGCAACAAGTCCACTAACTAAGCTGACATCCTTTAAAAAGTGTCTAGACATGAAGAATTAAAACAAAACTTGGAAGATGTTTACGATGTTGATAATCTGGAAACAATGTCTTCAACCAAACGATCATTAACATCAATGACAGATCGTACTTCTAGAGAAAGCAAGCCAAAACTGTTAATTCCAAAGAAAGAAAAATAATATATGATTTTCATGATTTTATATGAGTAGTTGGGTGATTTGAGTACGGTTGATTTTATCTTATGTTTACATACTATTTGGTTTTTGGGTTTGGTTTTTGATTACTTTGTTTCATACTATTCGTTTTTTGGATTAAAATTTTGATCATTTGAATACATTTTAGGTTTTATGAAATGTTGAATTATTCATCTATTTGTCTTTTGGGTTTAAACTCATATGAATTTAGAATTTTTATCATTTTTTACTCTATTATTCCGTTTGAATGTGAATTTGTCAGCATTGTTACAATGTTATTCATTACAACTTCAATATAAATATTAGCAAACTACAACTTTTTATGAAATTATAAACTTTTATAAATCTTTTAACCGTTCTAAAACAATTATTTATAGTTCCTTGTGAATTTATTGATAAATTTATTAGTAAACATTTACCATTGAATTTGAGCAATTGTTAAATTTGTTCATTTTCTATTGTTAAATCAAGTATAAATGAATTTGACCAATCGTTAAATTTCATATTCTATAATGTAATTTATGCACTAACTAATCAAATAATAGTACATATCCAAGTGGTCGGGTACCTCCAAGACAATAAGCAAACATGTAAATTATATGCAATTTCACAATATTGTAATTTTTTTAATGGATTTAAATGAACAATTACTTATTTCACTTGATTTAGATTCTTGATTACTCATATAAGGTTGTAATAAAATAAAACTATGATAAATTGAAAAAATTGTTCAGCTAAACGTTAAAATTTTGAAATTTATTGGAAATTTTGTTATATGCCAAATTATGCTTCTTTTTGTGTTGTCATGTTTGTTGATTTGACTATGTAGGGTGCATTTGAAGTTCCATTTCTCTATAAGAATGTTAATGTTCACATCCAAGTTGAAACAATCACAACTGGTAAACATTCTAAATGATTTTTTCACTTACATTAATCAAAACTATTATTTTAAGTGGTGCGTTCTCATGGATACCACACCGGTTGTCACTATATAGACCTTCTAGCGGTCTATACAAGAATCCTAGCGGCTTTATGAAAAAATTTGTTGCGTTTTCAATGAAGTATCACTCTGTCAACATTCTTCTTTATAGTTATTTCTCTTATTTTCGATATAGATGCGTGTCACAACAATAAGACAAAAGAGGTGTTAGTGACCATTAAAGATGAACAGGTAATATATATTTTAAGAATAAAATATAAAGTGTAAATTGTAGATTTATGATATTTATTTCAATGAAAGATATGTTGTTTGATTGTTAGGTTACATATTTGGTTATTTTATTATTATTTTTTTATAATTTGATTTTGACAAGTTTGATCTAAATTTGATAATTGAAGCAGGTAGGAAAGATATGTGCTAGCGATTTTGAATTTGCATTGCCCTATAGAAACCAACTGTAGCTTCACAGACCATTTTCTTATATCTTAGTAGGTCTTAACATTTTCCAAAATTCAGCTACAAGAAGTCATGGATGCACTTCTTGAATCAATCCTCTAAATCGAATTTCATTTGTTAGTTGGATGTAATGACCAAAATGCAAGATTTGTGAAAGTTCATTATTATTTATTAGTGTTAACCTTTAGCAAATTATGAAACTAATATTATATTTTTGTTCATAACATGTTTTTTTTTGTAATAATTTATTTGATCGGAAGATATGTATATGTGATTGGGTGTAGCCTGGAAAATCATATTTTGTTTTTTATAAGAAAAAGTTACTTTGAAATTGATATGGTTATGACAATTCATTTTATTTGTAATGTTTATCAAATTTCTTTGCAGAATTTAATGTTGCTGGTACATGTAACAACTTATTGTTGCTTTTGGTTTTACAGAGCTAATATGAAAAAAGTCATATGAGCCTCCATGAGGGTTGGTACACCTCCATTCATAAAGCTACTACACAACATGTTTTAATCAAGAAGTCGCATTATGTTGTGATAAAACAAAGATCACATAGATCATTTATATTAAAAATTACTATATTAAAAAACCAAATTGCTCTAATATAAATATTAAATATTTATATATAATAAGTTTGGTTAAAAAACTCTAAAAATGAATCTAACTAACATTTTTTTATTAAAATTCAACCTAAGACAAAGCTACTTATTAATGTGATATGTATTTAATTTATGTTCTCCGCGTTTAACGCGGGTCATAATCTAGTTGACAAAAAAAGTACAAATGACCCTGTTCACTAAAAGATCAAAATTTTCGTTTTTTTCAAAAATAGTTATCCGTTATTAGACTTTCATATCATTATAAAGTTATTTTTATCATTTTTTCGCTGTAAAAAAAAGTAGGATGCTATTACACGTAAATGGCCATTTTCACCAAAAAATATTTATTTTCTACTTTGATTCATTACATAAAGTACATTGTTATTTATTCAACATAGGTCATTTAAGTGGTCATTTTTTATATAATTACCAAACCATGGACTATTTCTGTTATCATTTAATCAATATACATTGCTATTAATAATGATCAAATTTACCAAATTGACCAAAAAGTCAAAAACAATATTTAATTGTATAATTACCTAACAGGGACCATTTTTGTCTTTTAAAAACCCTTTACTTTTCTGTTTTTAGCGTCTCATATCCGTATTAGTTTTATTTTTCTTCCTTATAAATAGGTCCAAATGACTAAAAAAATATTTTTTTGTCAAAATGGTTAACTTTACCAAATTTACCAAAAAGTCTAAAATGGTATAATTACTTAACCAGGGACAATTACTATTATAATTCATTCAATAAAAGTACATTACTATTAATAATTATCAAATTGACCAAATAGTCAAAATGGACTTTAATTGTATAATTACTTAAGCATGGAGCATTTATGTTATAATTAATTCAATAAAAGTACGTTGCTATTTATTCAACATATGTTATTTAAGCGGTCCAAATTAGAATAAGAAAAAAATTACAATGACAAAATTGTCCAAAACAATCAAAATGATCATTGAAACCACAAAAAGACTTCTACTTTTCTGTTTTTACTGTTTCTTATTAGTATTAGTTTTTTCCCCCTTTTTGTTGTTTCATTCTTATTAGTATTAGTTTTTTTCTTCCTTTTTGTTTTTTCACACAAACAAACATTCACATATGTCCTTTTTATTTGATAGTATTGTAACTGTATGCAATAACAATATACTTTTTTGAATCAGCTACTTTGTGACTATTTAGATTATCAGGCAACCTTGACCAAATTATTTTATTTTACTAAACTTCAACTACTTTGCTATCATAAATAAATTACATTATTTAATTATTCTAACCATTTTAAATATTATTTATACATAATCATTATAAACATACCAATATACACCAATTATTATATATATAAATATTGGTTTACAATTGTAGATAAAAAAATTTTTTATCTTCACTCGTGTATCACACGGATT